CAGCCCAGCCAGGGAGCAGCTGACTAAGGGCAGGAGCCTGAGCGGGTGCCGACCGGGGCCTGAGGTCTGATGGGCAGAGCTTCTGGTCGCCCTTCACTGCAGCGCCCAGGGAGGAGCACCTGGGAAGAGCATATGTTGTTTTTTAAAAATATGTTTTTACTGATTTCAGAGAGGAAGGGTGGGGAGAGGGATAGAAACATCGATGAGGAGAGAGAAACATCAGTCGGCTGCCTCCTGCACACCCCCTACTGGGGATTGAGCCCGCAATCAGCCATGTGCCCTGACCCGGAATCGAACCGTGACCTCTTGGTTCCTGGGTTGAGACTCAACCACTGAGCCACACTGGCCAGGCACATATGTCCTTTTTAAGCAGTTGTACTGAGAGTCACATACTTGACACTTTGCCCCCTTAAAGTGTCTAAGTCGATGGTTTTATTCACAGAATGGAGCCTCCATCAGCACAGTCCACTTTAGAACATTTTCCTTGGACCCTCAAGGGACCTGCTCCCCTTCTCTATATCCCCCAAACTTGTAACCTCCCCACTCCCTGAGCAACCACTAACCTACTTTCTGTCTCTGAATTTGCCTATTCTGGGCTTTCCTTCACCATGGTGCAGTCGGAGACTGAAATATAAAAGGAATTATACTAGTTCCATACAGGGTCTTTTGAACTGCTTCCTGCATTCAGCATGAGGTTTTCGTGGTATGATTCTCTCTCAGCGTGGATGTTTCTATCCCTCTCTGCCTCTCTCTGAAATCAATAAAAATATATTTTTTAAAAAGCACACTAGTGTGTTTGAAGTCTTATACCTTATTGTAAAAAAGAAAAAGTCCTATGACTGTATTTAATTTAACATACAATGTTGACATTCTTTACTGCTGAGTAAAAATGAAGAACCAGAGAAAGTCCCCTGAATTGATCGTGTGTTTTCACTCTCCTACCCGCCAAACAAGGGCAGCCCAGCTGAGATGAGCGTGACCAGATCAGTTCTCCTCGGGAGGGTTCCCATCCTTTCCCAGGACAGCCCATCTGTCCCTGACTGTGCCTACGGCCTCCATGGGATTTCCAGGATCCACAAGAGCCCACAAACTGGAGAACAGGACCAGGGGGTTAACACATCTCACTGTGCAGGCGGATCAACCCACAAAGCACTCCTGTGCTCTCAGAACAGGGGAGGAGGCGGGAGAGAAGACTGCCTTGGTGTGTGTGTGTGTGTGTGTGCTGAGCGGGTGCCGACCGGGGCCTGAGGTCTGATGGGCAGAGCTTCTGGTCGCCCTTCACTGCAGCGCCCAGGGAGGAGCACCTGGGAAGAGCATATGTTGTTTTTTAAAAATATGTTTTTACTGATTTCAGAGAGGAAGGGTGGGGAGAGGGATAGAAACATCGATGAGGAGAGAGAAACATCAGTCGGCTGCCTCCTGCACACCCCCTACTGGGGATTGAGCCCGCAATCAGCCATGTGCCCTGACCCGGAATCGAACCGTGACCTCTTGGTTCCTGGGTTGAGACTCAACCACTGAGCCACACTGGCCAGGCACATATGTCCTTTTTAAGCAGTTGTACTGAGAGTCACATACTTGACACTTTGCCCCCTTAAAGTGTATAATTCGATGGTTTTATTCACAGAATGGAGCCGCCATCAGCACAGTCCACTTTAGAACATTTCCCTTGGACCCTCAAGGGACCTGCTCCCCTTCTCTATACCCCCCAAACTTGTAACCTCCCCACTCCCTGAGCAACCACTAACCTACTTTCTGTCTCTGAATTTGCCTATTCTGGGCTTTCCTTCACCATGGTGCAGTCGGAGACTGAAATATAAAAGGAATTATACTAGTTCCATACAGGGTCTTTTGAACTGCTTCCTGCATTCAGCATGAGGTTTTCGTGGTCATCTGTGTAGTGCGTGTCAGAACGTCATTGCTCTGTATGCTGAGTAATAAATGCTTATTCCATTGTCTGGACTGAGCCCATTTCGTCCATCCAGTCATTAGTTAATGGATATTTGGGTTGACTTGTTTCCACTTCTTGGCTATTTTGAAGCATGCTGCTCTGATTGTCCCTGTACATGTTTTTATGTGGATGTGTGCCCTTTTTATTCTCTTGCGTATATACCTAGAATTGTTGGGCCCTAGGGTAACCCTATGTTGAGCCATTTGAGGCACTTCCGGACTATTTACCAACGTGGCTGCCCCATTTTCCATCCTCTGCCCCTCCCAGCAGCGTATGAGGGTTTGGTTTCTCCACATCCTCCGTGCATGTTATTAGTTGTCATTCTTATTATAACATCGCCAAGTGGGCGTGAAGTGGTATCTCCTTGTGGTTTTGAGTTGCATTTTCTTAATAGCTACGGATGTTGAGCATCTTTTCATGTGCTTCTTGGCCATTTGCATATCTTCTTTGGAGAAATGTCTATTCAGATGCTTTTTTAAAAGAGTTGGTACAATTCACCAGTGAAGCCATCTGGTCCTGGCTTATTTATGGAAACTCTAGATAACTAATTCAGTCTCCTGTTACATGTCTACGCAGATTGTCTGTTTATTCTTGACTCCATTTGGGCAGTTGGTCTTTCTAGGAGTTTTTCCATTTCATCTAAGTGATCTATTACGCTGTCAGGCAGATGTTCATAGTATTCCCTCATCATTTTTAATTATTTTTGTTTCTGTAAGGTTAAAAGTAATGTGGGGAAGTTTCAAGTTCCTACCTCAAAAGCACACTGTGGCCTGGCCAATGTGGCTCAGTGGTTGAGCATCAACCCATAACCAGGAAGTCAGGGTTTAATTCCTGGTCAGGGCACATGTCTGGGTTGCGAACTCGATCCCCGGTGTGGGGCCTGCGGGAGGCAGCCAACCACTGATTCTCTCTCAGCGTGGATGTTTCTATCCCTCTCTCCCTCTGTCTGAAATCAATAAAAATATATTTTTTAAAAAGCACACTAGTGTGTTTGAAGTCTTATACCTTATTGTAAAAAAGAAAAAGTCCTATGACTGTATTTAATTTAACATACAATGTTGACATTATTTACTGCCGAGTAAAAATAAAGAACCAGAGAAAGTTCCCTGAATTGATCGTGTGTTTTCACTCTCCTACCCGCCAAGCAAGGGCAGCCCAGCTGAGATGAGCATGACCAGATCAGTTCTCCTCCGGGAGGGTTCCCATCCTTTCCCAGGACAGCCCATCTGTCCCTGACTGTGCCTACGGCCTCCATGGGATTTCCAGGATCCACAAGAGCCCACAAACTGGAGAACAGGACCAGGGGGTTAACACATCTCACTGTGCAGGCGGATCAACCCACAAAGCACTCCTGTGCTCTCAGAACAGGGGAGGAGGCGGGAGAGAAGACTGCCTTGGTGTGTGTGTGTGTGTGTGTGTGTGTGTGTTCTCTGGTGTAGGTGGCAGGGCAGGGACACCTCTGACAGTTGGTGTCCTTTTATCTCGGAAATACCAGCTACAAAAACTAAATAGCCAAGGCAAGGTCTTTTTTCCCCAAACGAACACCAGGGAAGAATATTTTTAACAAAGCGGTGTTTCAGATAACGTACTTTAAAGCGAGCCCTGTTTCTTTCAACTTCAGCAAACGGGATCACCCCCATTCAGATGTTCGCTGCTATAAAAATAAAATAAAAGCTCAGAATTTAACTGCATTCTAAAAATAAGCAAGTGCTCTTTAGCATGTACAGTAAGCACACTGGCATGCCCATGAACCTGAGATGGAAATGATATTTTAATGGCTACATTAACTGTAACATTCCGCCAACCCTTACAATTAATGACTTGCATTAATGACTAGTTAATCACTCAGCTTAGTTCCTAGGAAAGATGATCATTATCAACTCGTGTGTTATATTCATCATCATAATAAATATTCCCTTTCCCCTCTTTGTTTTTCTTAGAAAAACTGTTCTTAAAAGCCACCTGCTACCTAGTGGTTCGCACGTTTGGACCAGATATCATAAAACTGTGAGTACGCCGGCACGTTGATCCCATTTCTCTCTGGACGGGGGGAGCAGAAACACTGGGAGGAGCCGCTACTGAGCAAGGCCTGGAGCTGCAGTCTTCCAGTTCTTGCCAATAGTGAGTGGGCGAGCCAGATGGTCACAGGGGTCAGAGAGAGGACAGACAGACCCTGTACCAGGCACTGCAGGTGGGGGCTGTGTAAGTTCCCATCTTCCACAACTACAAGTGCACACAGGTGTTAAGAAAGAATAGGCCCAGCAAGCCACCAACAGAGGGTCACTCCCAATAGGTGGTGGGAAGGGGAGGAAATGGTTTTGAGATGATTCAAGGTCATGAGAAGACTAATTCTCCATGTATGGCGGGGGGAGGGGGGCACTTTGAAGAAGACGATGCAATAAATGATTCCCCCTTGTGTGTCATACTTGTTAGAAACCCCATTTTTCATTTTTCTTCTAAAAAATTTAGTAGTTGAGGCCTCTTCTGATCTCTGAGAGCTCCTAGGTTCAGAATACAAAATGTCATGATTTAGTGGGAAGTATAAATAGATACCAGGAAGGGAGGTAAGACAAACGCAAGACCAGGATCAGGTTTGCTATGACAACCTGTGTCACATGGAGGTCAAGACCAGGCCTAGGCGGACCCAGCATGAGGTCACTGGCTGGGATTGGCTGCTCTTAGAAGGAGCCCTCCCTGCATGACCCAAGTTCTTAGGGGAATAAACCTGAACACTCCTAACAACATCCTGTGACTTGCCTGTGGGTAGGACATGTAATTGCTGGATAATAGTCCATTAATCTCTGAGAATTGACTGATTATGAAATAATGAAGAGGCATGATGCCTTCTGGCTTAGGAACCACATTTAATATCTGAACCTGAAATTCAGGTAAAACTAAATCATGAGGTTGTCAGTGTCAGGACCCACCTCACCCCAGAACTGCAGCTGGTTGATTAAAATGAGCTGTCAGAGGAGCGCACCATGAGAGGAGAAACTCCCATCAGCAAGCAGCTAATATGGGTACCGGGGAAAAAACAACTATCTTCTAGAATCTATAACTGTCCTTCCAAGATTAGCCTTTGGATAGTACCAAGCTGTTTCTGGTTTCTTTGTTTTTGTGGCTTTGGTGTGGTGTGGTTTGGGTTGGGCTTGAATGAATAATTTACTTGGAAAAGTTACTCAAAGTCCACGCTTTCCTGTCCCTTCATTTGAAGCAGCACATGGTGCTCATTCTTCTTGGTAAGAAGAGGTAGAAAATGGCTATGGAAGGTTTGTTTTAGTCCCTTCAAACCTAGACATAAACCGAAATATTTGGAGAATACAATTCTTACCCCATCCCCAGGGGGAAAAGTCAACCTGACTGTATTTTCTTCCATAAAGTAAAGAAATATTTACATTAAAGGGAAGCGATGATTTGGATTATGCCTAAGAAAATAATTTTAGGAGTTTAAGGCTATATCATAAATGATTTTTTTTTGCTATAATCCCTAGGAAACTTTAAAATAGCGTTTCCATCAAATTACACCCCCTGTCCATCTTTCCTTTCCCAATTTTATTTGTGGCTTCTGCCTAAAAGAATATCATGCTCTGGTGAAGCTGTCACACCGCTCAGGGCTGCTCACACCCCCTCTCCGCCCCCAGGACCTCATTCTAAATTGAGGTGAGAGCAGCGGGGAGGGGGCAGGAAATCGTTGTGAGCCAGCACACCCAGGACGGACTCCAGGCCATGCTGCCCTGCGTGGAGGCCCATAGAATCCATTCTGGGATTTTGCTTTCTTTGAAATCAATTCTGCTTTCTAATGCCTGAGAGATCTTAATCGTCTTTGTTTGGCCCATCTCCCTGCAGGCTCAGTGCTGATATGAATGCTGATGTCGTGTGTCACACACTGGAATTCTGTCACCAGGGCCCGGGCCAGGCACTGTGTCATCTCTACCCACTTCCCAAGGTGAGTGAGTGGCTTTCACTCAGGTGTCAGATGGCAGTGACGTGCATGCCCTTCGGATGTGTAAAGGCAAGCTCAGCTGTACTCACTCCGCGATTTGGGGACAGAAAGAGGCAAGATGACATTTTCAATTACGTGTGAAAGAATATTCTCAAGTTCCAAAAAAATGTCTTCCCTGTTGAGCTATTATGTGGGGCTGGCTGTTGGTAGGAAATCAGACCAGCTGAGGACAGAAGAGGTTTAAATCCCTCTCTTGATATGTACTTGCTTAAATATCAAGCAAGTCACTTTTAGAAGGTGACCAACTCACCCCAATTTGCCCAGCTCTTTCCTGGAACAAGCAATGCAATTCCCACAACTGGGGAAATGTGGGCAATTGGTCACCCTAGTCTGACCTTCATTGTTCTCCCCCATCAAATGGGTGTAATGAAATACCCCAAATCCCTCCTTCAAGATTAATTATGGGAAGTAGGTGAGCTAAGACATTTAAAATGCTTAGCACAATGCCTACCACATTTTTTAAAAAGTGTTAATAAAAATGGTGGCTACTATAATTATTATCAATATCATTATTATTCAGAGATAGTTATTTGCAATACCCTGTGTGTGTTACATGAGGCTGGACAGTCTGTAATTAGAATGCAGGCCAAGGAAGGCTGCAGTGTTGACACAATGCCCTTCCCAGACTCTGAGTGACAGTATGATATTAAATCCAGTTAGGCCTTACACTAGTGACTTTCAGAAGCTTCCTGTAAAAATAAAAGACAAAATAAAATTCTATGCCTCCTTTCCCAGAATTGTGGCTTTTCCGTATACAACCCAGCAGGCTGCTGTTCTATTTGTAATGCCCTTTTTATTCTTGGAATGAAGTCTATTTATCACCCTGGGGCCTAACCAATGAACATGATTTTGCTGACTGACAATTGTAAGTAATGAAGAAAGAGATACAGATGCCTGGGGTGTGTGTGCATGCATGTCATGCTTCCTCGGTCATTGACTACAGTGCCCGTTCAGTGTCCCCTAATTCCACCTGAGAAACTGTGGGCTCCACTGGTTTCTAGAAGAGATAGTTCATTTTAATTTAAAAAAAAACAACTTTTCATGTGTTTAAGTAGCATGTGAGGACTGATAGCAATGCTTGCGTTTTGATAACATTGGAAACATGTATGCACCAAGATAAGTGGCATGGTGTCTGTGATTTCCTTAAAGAACATCGTGTTGTGTATACATCACACCCACAGCTATACACAGTCCCAAAATGTTCAAATTTTTAAAAAATGTATTTTTATACTCTATGCCGTTTATACTCGAAATCTTGTTTTCATGGCACACAAACTACACCTACACAGCAGGTGTACACTAGTAGGTAGAGTTACCTGCTAGGAAAGGTGGGTAAAATCGTAGGTGGAAATCACCCCCAGCCTGCCCGAAGCCTTCCGCATGACCCTCCCAGTCAAAACCCATCCCTGTGTAGCCGCTACTCTGTAATCTGTCACCCCAGGCGCGTGCATTAGGCACAGTTCCATCTTGAACTTCACACAGAGGAGTGCTTTTAGACACAGTTCCATCTTGAACTTCACATAAATGGAATCACACAGTTTGTTGTCCTTGGTGTCTGGCTTCTGTTGTCTGTGAGATTCATCTGTGTTTTGCATGTAACAGTCTTGTTGCAGAAAGTATTCACACCATCATCTCTTTTTTTGGGAGGTGTGAACTATATATTAAATTGACATTTTCTAATTAAATGGATTGGGGTGACATTGGTTAATAAGATCATGTAGGTTTCAAGTGTATGTTTCTATGACACTTGGTCTGAATACCTCACTGTGTGCCCACCACCCAAAGTCAACGTCAATTGCGGCGAGGGGCCTGCTGCCTCAGGAGAGCAGCTCAGCCTTTGGAAGGGTTTCCCCCCGTGAACCGATCTCTGCAGGAGCCAGAAGCAGCCAACACTGAGTGGGCGGGAGCTGTGTGTGCACAGGGAATCCACGTTTCCTTGATCTAGGGCCCAGGAAGCTGCGGGCATAGGTTTGGGAAGGAGTGAGTTTGTGTGTGACAAACGTGCACAGGGAATCCACGTTTCCTTGATCCAGGGCCCAGGAAGCATAGGTTTGGGAAGGAGTGAGTTTGTGTGTGACAAAGTGGCGCAGGACAAATTCTTGTTCAACTGAGAAATCAACAAGCTGACATCAGGAATTTCTCAAACATGGTTTGCAGTTGAGGCTGAAGGTCTTGACCCAGGTCCCAGACCTGCTGAGTAAACCTGAACTCAGCCCGGGCTCCGGACATGAGCCCTCCGGCTCTGCCCATCAGCGCGGGGCCTGGGGGGATTGTGCCACACGTTCAAGTGGCTGGTCTGTGTCAGAGGGAAGTGAAGGCAGTGTGGGTGTTAGTGTTAATGAACTATTCTGAAGAACTGAATCTCCAAGAATCTTGCACACGTGCCCCCACTTTCTCATTACCAGTTAGACCAGAGGCATTCACTCCCTCTTCCCTTATACTCAGGCATGTTTCTTCAGCATGCACAAATTCTCTCTTTTAACCATCACAAGTATGCAAGACAGACATGGTCCCCCCCACCTCATAGATAAGTCTACTGAGCCCTGGAGAATTGCAAGGCTCACCTGATATACATTTATTAAGTTATTATTATATGACTAGAGGCCTGGTGCATGAAATTCATGCACGAGGGCAGGGGGTTCCCTCAGCCCAGCCTGCACCCTCTCCAATCTAGGACCCCTCAAAGGATGTCCTACTGCCGGTTTACAGGGATCGGGCCTAAACCGGCAGTCGGACATCCCTCTCACAATCCAGGATCGCTGGCTCCTAACTGCTCATCTGCCTGCCTGTCTGATCACCCCTAACTGCCCCCCCC